CCCTCCCCCCGCTCTCCCCCCCCTGCCCCCGGGTCCTCCCCGGCCGCTCCCGGGGCTGGTGCAGGGTCCCGCCGCCTCCGCTATGCCCGAGCCTCTGCCCCCCACCCAGCTGTACACCTCGGAGCGGGTGGTGGTGCTGCTCTCCTGCGTGCTTTCCTTCCTGGGCTCCAGCCTCCTGGTCTGCAACCCATGCCCTGTGGCCGGAGCTGCGGACCCGTCCCCGCCAGCTCCTGCTCTACCTGTCGCTGGCCGATCTCCTCTCTGCCCTCTCCTACTTCTACGGGGTGCTGCAGGACTTCGACAGGACCTCCTGGGACTGCGTGCTGCAGGGCGCCCTGTCCACCTTCTCCAACACCAGCTCCTTCTTCTGGACCATGGCCATTTCGGTTTACCTCTATCTCACCATTGTGAGGGGCTGGGGTGGGTGCTCCGGTCACCTGCTCTTTTCTTAAGGATGCTGTGCCTTTTCGACTGGGATTTTGCTGTCTTCTAACTAACCCCCCTGATTATTTTTCCCCTCTCAGTGAAGAAATGGAGCTGTGGAGAAGTTTAAAAAAAAAAAAAAAGCAAACTTGCTGAAAGTCACATAAAATCTCTGGTAAGAGAGTGAAAATCCAGGCTTCTGCTTTCCCTCTGCAATCTGCTCTGACCTCCTAGAAATAATGTAATGAAACTTGTGTTTGCAGTGCTGGTATTTCGCTGGGAAAACTCCTGTGTTTGGGATCTGTTTGCACAGGTCCCTGACTTCCAGTGCCAGCCTGGTCTTGTAGATCTTCCCCTTTCCTCAGGCAGGTTGCTGTAATTCAATACTCAAAGGAGAATGTAGTCTCTAAGTTAGGAGGAGGCTTGAAGAGCACTCTGAAGGTTGTTTTGGCACGTTTGATTGAAAGCAAAACAAACAAGACCATAGTGTAGCTTTATGTCTCACTTTCTGCTATTTACTGAGCTGTTTTTCCACATCATGTTTAGTACAAGCTTTCATTATGCAATTGCAGCTTGTGGGATCATGTGCTACCTCCACACTGAGCAAAACAGTGATCCTTTAGTACTCTGAGCTGCCAGGCTTTTGCATTAAATTATAAGAGGAATGATCTGGTTTAAAGAAAAAGCATCAGGGCAAGTATTGACTTTTGTTTCTTAGTGAAGTATTTGTCGCCTTTTGTTTTCAAACAGCATCACTTGGGAGTTGATTGAATCAGAGCTGAGTCCAGGTAAAGGTGGGACAGAGAAAGACATTAAGCCCAAGAGTGAATCAGGAGGAACTTCAGTTCCTGCCCTGCCTGTTCTAATCGGTTCTTGGCAGCAAGGTCTGCATGGGAGAGAGCCCGAGGTGACAACTCATGCCTCTGGGTACACCAGGGTGTTGCTGGGGAAGGTGGAGTAAGATGCAGTGGAACAGTGGAGAGGATTTGTTATTTCATTTCCAGTGAATAAAGAGTTCTAAGAATTAGGGAGAGGACAAAGCCAGTGAAGAGCCAAGTGTTGCTTAAGGAAGAGAAATAAGCAGCCTGGCTGCTTTTAGGGGTGTGCTTGTCTGCAGCAGGCTACAGCAAAGAGCTGATGCAAATCTGGCCTATTTGTAACTTTCCTGTTCTCTAATCACTTGTTGGGTGCCCATTGTCTGCTGTTCAACTTCTCCATCTGGTTTCATGTTTTTCAACCTCACCTGCTACGAAGTGTGGAAGGAAATAGGCCAGTTCACTGAAATGACATTGGCCACTATCTGTGCAGTCTTTGAAACCTGTGACAATGCTGAGAGCTTGTTCTAACCCTGAGACAGAGGGACTTTGCAGTAAAAATAAAATACCTTCTTCTGTTCTTGGTATGGACCAGCTCCCCTTGCTCTGGTTGAAGGGCAGGATGGAGAGCTTCCGCTGGAGAGCTTCATCAAGACTCCCAGGCTGTGTTTAAAGCTCCTTCCTGCTTTATGATCTGCAAGAAAAGCCAGAAAAAAAACAAGTGAGGACCTGTTCTCTGTCCATCTTCCTTCTTCCTTCTCTGCAGTTTTATCATTAGCTGAGAACTCAAATTGTGGACATGGGCTTGGAGATGGTTCCCACTCACACTGGTGCTCTCAAGTCCCCCTGCCAATCTGGGGTCCTTGTAGCCTAAAAATCTTGTAGTGCCACAGATAGGAACTGCTGCAACTGATGTGAACAGATACTACCACATGTATTAACTGCAGAAGGTAGGTGAGGGAGACCAGTCTAGGGCAGAAGGAAAGATGGCAAAGGGTAGATGATGTTTTAAGGACTTAAGTTTCCAGTATTACTGGCTAGGCAAGAACTTGGGCTTATTCCCCTCCTTTTTGGACAAGTGTAAAGATGAATATTCTTTTCATGCTGAGTATAACCAAAGCCTGTTTGTTCTTTAGCTGAGTGGAGCTTCTAACCTGATATGTTGGAAGTCAAGGCCTGAATTATTTTTTTTTAGGGACATGAGGATGTGACACTGAATGGAACCTGTCAGGCTTGTTTGTCACTGACTCCTGTGGTGACACATCCACCTCTTTCTGCTAGACCAGACAACTACAGGCTCTGATCTGTTTTTACACTTGTGTTGTGGTCAGACAACCTTTGAAAACAAGCTTTCAGTTAGCTTTAAAAATATTGATGGAGCTGTAAGGTGTAAGTTCTGGCAACCAAAGTTTAAATTTCTAGGCCACCCCACTTGTTCTGCATTTCTAAACATCAAGTATCACTTAGTTGGGCAGTGTCATCCCTGTTGTGAGAGTGGTTGATCCAAACCTGGGGTGAGGATTAGACCAGTATTGATGACACTTTGGTGCTGCAAGCTCAGTTTAATGTTTTGAGGGAGGGAAGGCAAAAATAAAATCGGAACAGGTTTGAAGTTCTGCTTACAGTGTGTGCTCAAAGCTTTCTTGAAATTGGCTGGTATGTCCAGAAGACTTTTTTTTTCTCTCTTACAGAGTAAAAACTCCTGTCCCCAGAAAGAACCCCCTGCGGGCTTGCTGGTAAGATGGCTAGTTGTCCAACCTGTGCAGGCTGGTGACTTCAAGTCTTCCCTGCTTGGCAGAGCCCCTGGGGAAAAAAAACCAACAAACAACGAAACAAACCAGTTGTGCAGTGTAAATCACAATGTGGGATTAAGCAATCTGACTCAGGCATTCTGAGGACAACAAAACAGACACAACTTGAGCTGGACACTGCTTGACGTGAAGGGTCCTTGTCCTCCCTTCTATAAATGCAGCATTAAACTGTTCTCTTTTATATCCCTGCCTGGTAATTTGACCTGGTTTTATCTTACAGAATTCTTTCAAGTTCAGGTCACTGTGGAGAAGGTTATCTAGGCAAATGAGTTTTAAATATACTTCCTCTTTTCTTGGTGCTGAGGTCGTTGGTGCTTGTCTGCCTTAATATGGTTCTTTAAAGAACTGCCACTTCTCTTGAATTCCTTACTTTTTTGGTCAGCTCTTCCAAGTGTACTGACATTTGAATGTCTGTGCTTCTGTAACCCCTGTTTTCAAGCAAGTCACCATTTTTTACCAAAATGAGTCCTGAGTTGTGTAGGACCTTTCATGGTGGTGGCAATGTTTGGAATGTCTTTAGAAATCCTGCTCTGATAATAGCACAGGGAGAGCTTCCTGCAGCAGAACTGTTCTCAAGTAACCACATGGGCTTGGATTAGCACTGCCTGTTCTGAGCTGAACATTGAAACAAAATGTTCTAGAGATGCTAAAAGGTTGACTGATAATTTTACAGTATTATATTGACACTTGTTCTGTGGGTTAGTGAACACAGACACCATTTAAGAGTGGGAAATGGGGTGTTTTTGAGATCTAATATCGTGGGATTATCTCTAATATTTTCAGTTGGGCTGTGGAATTTCAAATAATCTGGTCTAGGCAACTGCTGGTTGCCTACATAGTCTGGTGCATGTGAAACAGATTTTGGGAGGAAGATCCTTCTCATGTTTTCTGCAGCTGCTCCAGGCTGTCAGTGGAAGAGTGTGAACCAGGAGGGTGATGAGAGTGATACAATAATGGCTTTGTGATCTGTGTATCTGGAGAGACCAGGTGGGATGTGCTGGGAGCTCAGCCTGAGTGCTTGCTGAAGCATTTGTCTCATTTATTGAGGAAGTGCCTATAGTCCTGAGGATGAACACAGGAAGGGCGGGTGATGTATTTGGTGAAGTGCAGGGCAGAATTTCAGTTGTGGAGTAATGTGTGAGCTGCACATCACAGGCCTGTGACACCCTGGGTGTTTACAGCAGCACCCAGGAAGGGGCTGAGGGATCTTACATTGAGGATCCTGGAATTTTTCAGTTCTTGCTCATGGTTTTTGTGGGCATCCCAAGCTGCTGAGTGACTTAATTTATGTGTGTCACCAGTTATTTTTCTACTAAATGCTTCCCTGTGTTTGCCTCTGCTGTCAAGAGAGAAGCCAGAATCAAAACACAGATCCAAGTTATGTCCACATGACTTTGCTTTTCAGCTTTTTGCTGCTAGTGCCAGTGATGTCCTTGGGAAGAAACTTGCAGAAATTATCTGTTTGCTTCCAAGATATTGACTACACCTCTATTTGAAAACAAACAACCCACTGGTGGAATAAAATTGTACCTTTCTCTGTGTACTGGTCTTCTGTGCCAGTTGACGCTTAGGAATCAGACTGTGGGATTTGGTTGCTTGTGTTCTGAAAGCCTGGGAATTGGGCAGCTTGGTCATGACTGGCTGGATCCTACAGGATAGTGACTTTGTACAGTGCTCCAGCCTCGTTGAATCCTTCACCCCACCTGTATCCAGGGGAGAAGAGGAGTAGGTAGGATGTCTCCTGTTCACCTGGCTGGACACTGCATGCTTGCTCTGTGGGCCAGGTTTCAGTTCAGAGTGTAGCACATGATTCCACATCTGTCCATCAGGACTGGGGACCCACCTTCCTAGAGCAGGTCCCTAGGGAATGGATTTGCAGTCCAGTGAAGATTCTGATGAAGAATCCCTTGGTCTGTCACCCATTTTCCCTGGGCTGTGGAGGGACTAAACTGAGTATGTTCCTGGTTTAACCTTGCTCTTCATGTTCTTTCCTCAGCTGGGGAGTCCCCCTGGGCATCACGGTGGCTGCTGTTGCTCTAAAGAAGATTGGCTATGATGCCTCCAATGTTTCTGTGGGCTGGTGTTGGGTCAACTTGGATGCAGAAGACCGGGTCTTGTGGATGTTGATAACAGGGAAGGTCTGGGAGATGCTGGCCTACGTGATTTTGCCAGTCCTCTATATCCTCATCAAGAAGCACATCAATAGAGCAGTGAGTATTTTGCTACTTTCAGCTTAGTTTGCAGCCTTGAGTTTGCAGCCTTGCTCTGTGGTTGTATCCTCCTGTGCTCTGAAGATTTTGCTGCTAATTCAGCAGCTGCACAGGAAGGGGTTGCTTCATATGCCACTGAAATGCACCCACCACTGGGAGCAGCAGAACACCTGCCTGAGCAGCCCATAGCAGCATTGCACAGTGACTTGGCACAAAAATGTAAAAGCCTGTGGAAAACTTCTGGAGTTATGGGATGTATGTGAGTGAAATGTAAAGACGATGTGAAGGACAAAAATTCAGCTTTAATTAGGCCTTCACACTTCCACTTGTACCAAGCCTGAGTTTGGCATCTGGACCTGTCTAACCTCAGCTGTTTTAGGATCCCCAGTGATTGTGTGTATGAATACCTGTTTTGTTACTGGTAGCATAAAGCCCCATTTGGGAGCCTGGGCACTATAGCATTAGGCACTGCATGCATGCACAGTACAGGAAGAACCCCTGTCCTAGGAGGGTTTCAGAATTCCAGCCTTATTTGCTGTCGTTCCTTGTGAACACAGAAATCCAGGCATCTAAGACAATGTTTGCATAATAGAGAAATCTAGATTGAGAGTGGCAGAAGGAAAGAAATCCAGAGGTTCTTTTTTTCTAAGTTTTGTTAGGGGAAAAAACCTCCAAGCACAGCTGGATAGATGTGCTTCTGGAAAAGGCAAACCTGTTCACTGTGAGGAAGCTATGGCAATGGAAGTTGGGATAAACACAGACCTGGTTAGGGCAGGATCTTGCAGACGAGTTGGAAAAGCCATGTAGTTCTAAGCAGTTCCAAGGGCCCAGGGAAAGGGGAGCTGGACAGGGTTTGCTGTGCTGTCACTGTCACCTGACATCAATCAGGCAGGACACTGTGTTCCAGCACTGTCAGACAGCAGCTGACTGCCTGGAAACCTGACCCCCCACCTGGTCAGGCTCTTACCCAGGGACTCCCAGGCACTCTGCACTCCCTTCCCTGCTCCCAGCCCTCACCCTGCCAGAGCAGGAGTGTGAAGCAGGCAGCTGCCCCTCTGCTCTCATCCAGGTGGCTGAGGGCTAGAGCAGCAGCACCCAGGGCTTTCTGCAGTGCAGCATCTCTGTTCTCATCACTAGGATATGGCAGCCTGGTAGCTTGCTTCCTAAGGCTCCTTATGGCTGGTCTCCCACTTTCAAGGATGAGCAGTAGGTGACTAGGGCCAGGTTTGGGCTGTATTTATGGCTGAAATGGGTTTTGCAGTAGTGGCTGCTGCACAGCCTGAGAGGCAGGAGGAATTATAGAAGTAACTGTTGTGGGGGACATGTGCAGGATGTGGACTAGGGTCTTTCTGGGTAGAAAATATTGCATGGGAGTGGGTGGGATGCTGCACTGAAAGCCCTTGCAGGGATTTGGCTGACGTTGTCCTACAGGTCTGCTCTGGAGGAAGTAAAGCTTCAGGACTGGGAATACTGAGGTGAAGGGGAATACTGTGCATCAAAGCTGTGTGTGCTCTGTAGCCTGATGGTAGGAGGAATATTGTCTACAGGTCAGCTATTCTGAAGTTCAATCTCTTCACCCCCATGAACATCCTGGTGTTCAGCACCATGTGGCCCTGTAGCTGCTGTGGGTGCTGTGTTCACCTGCTCTCCCTCAGCCAGGAATCTGGGTGCATCCAGTAGCTTCTACCACAGGAAGTTCTTTTGAGCTTTACACCTTCAACCACCCAGATCTCTGGGTCTTTTTTTCTACATGTGCTGCCCCTGAGAGGTTAGCTGTCTTGTCTGAATCCATGGGAGCCCATTGGTGACAAGATATGCTCAGAAATCAGGCAGCAGGTTCTACACAAACATAGTGAGTAACTTTCACATGGGTGTAAGTTCCTTGTGGAATTTACTGGCTGTGGTGAAATCCAAAAATTTGGATGGTTTGAGAAAGATGAGCCAGACTTCTCCCCAGATGTATTTATATATATATGTATATCTCTATCTATCAAGAAGCCTTTGCAAGGTTGAACCTTGACCATGCATTTACAGAGTGGTAAAGCCAGCAGCAGAGGGGCCAGGCCACTGCACCAGCAGAACTACTTTGTGTACTACTGCTTTTTTATTTATGTTGTTGTGACCTAGTTCCCTGGTGACTAAGTAGCAATGTTTGTTAGTACAGAGCTGTAGTGGGACTCTGATAAGGGCTGTATATCCTCTATTTTCCACTCCTTGGCTTCAGCA